AAAATGGTTTTAAAGATATTACCCCGCGTCAAATACTTTGTTATGAAAACGATATTTTTGAGAAGATCTAAATTTTAAGCGGAAATTAAAACTTGGGTGACATAAACATACAGGGGTTGGTGTGACAAGAGAATGTTTACTAGTGCAGTAAGGTCCGGTCATCTATGAGAAATGGTTGATCCAAAGATTGGATTTCAGTCGATGTAACGTTTGCGTCAAAGATTTTTTTTCTTGTTTTTAATAGAGTTGGGCGGCCATGTGTGGGCAAGGCCAGATGATGTCGGTTTGGTTAATTTTTTTCTTTGTTATTATTGTCTTAAAACAGATAAGGGTGAACTATTCTCTTCGCCATTTATCGCTCCAGATGGAAATATCTACATTGGTTCAGGTCAAGGAGAGGTTCTGGCTCTTCGTCAACATGATGGCTCTCTCGTGTGGAGTTTTAAGACAAGCTCGTCAATCTGGTCGTCACCACGGTTGGATAGAAGTGGTCTGTTGTTTATAGGAGGAATTGACACCTATCTGTATGCCTTGCGAGCTGATAATGGACAATTGGTGTGGAAGTACAAGACAGCCGGACCGGTTGTGGGAACACCGCTGATCACACGTGAGCATGCTGTGGAACAAGCCTGAAGTACACAGGGAAATTATTAAGGCTATTAAAATATTATTGATAAATTTGATCAAATTTTATTCACGGATGTCTCATCATCATCATCAGAATCATTTGTCTGCCACACCATAAATAAAAACATACAATAATAAAATATTCATTGGGTCAGGAGATCTCCAAAAAACACCAAGCTTATAGCGGAGCCCACCTCAGTTGTTCATAGAGTAAATTTTAAGCTTTGTGTGTGTGGCATGATCAATCCAGCATTATTTTGGTAAAAAATGTAATGATTTTCTTCTTAAACCTGGAAAAGCTTGTTGAACTAGTGACAGATACTGGTAGAGAATTCCAACTTTAGGGCCTTGATAGAGTATTGTGAATTGCTTAAGATTTATGCAACAGAGGTTCGATTGATAACCTCTGGCTGTTCTTGCGCCATAACAGTGTACTTGACTATTTAATAAAAACAAATTGAGAAACACCTGGGCCCACAATTAGTTACTCAGAACAGTATTCTGAATCCTTGATTAATAAAACTCCTTCAGATTTGGTTTGGATAGCCTGCCTGCAGATGTCTACATGAAGGAAATACATATTGTGGACGTCCTCAGGCAGGCTAGTGTGGACTACTGCCACCAAGAACTGAACTAAGAAAGAAAACATACTGACAGTGACGTCCAATGCCTGAGTACCCTGGGTGCCAGCTTCACTACGAAAAAAAAACCCCTCTGGCACCAAGGCTAATGCCAGAGATAAAATTGAGTAAAATGTCCTAGGATAATGTACCATATTTAAATTAAAGTATCACAGTCAAGACAAGTATGATATCCTTACTTGGTATGACAAAAAATAAAAATAATTAAATATATTACAATATTTAGAGAAGAAGCCACATCAGCCTGCCATCAACCCAGGCCACATTGATGGGAGGCGAGTGTTCTCACCACTGCGCCATCCCTGCTTCCCAATAAAGTACAAAAGTAAAACCTGAAGTGTAACTATGTCTTACACAAGCACCTGCACCGGGCCAAGCTGTACCCCGTGTTTCGTTACACTACCAGTTTGTTAAGAAGATTAAGACATGATTTATCTTTATCAGAAATTTTACATTGTCTCCAGTCCCCCATCATACTGAATTTTTGCAATGAACCCCCAATTATTAAGTAAAATTAAACATATTCACAACCAAATAGACCCACACCCACATTACACACCATACATTTTGTGTGGTCCTCCTTAGAAGCCATATATTCTCGGCATGGTCCCCTAAATCTCTTCACAGTGGTCGCTTAGCACAATAGGATGCCACAGGCAACCCAAAGAAACTGAATCTCAGACTAAAGAGTAACAACGTCCCCCTTTCGTGGGCCCATTTTTAGTATTGCAAGATTTCTGCTACTACAGTAGCAGAAACTAGACAGGAGTGAAACCCACTGTTTTTTCTTGTTCTTTTTTTTTTTTTAATTAAGCTCTAATTAACACACGTGCACACCCACACCCGGTTTAAGGCGGGGGTAAACATGAAAAAAGGCCCTTTTTCAAACAAGTGTAACTTCATAACTATAGTTCAGAACCATATAAACCTATCAGAAGAAAGCTTAGGAATCAAAGACAAAATATTTCATTTATTTTGCCCTAAACTAATTTGTCATTTGATGCCAGATCAATATGTCACCACATGCTGTGAAAAACCCAAGCGTATTTGAGAAAAGATACCTGCTTGTAGATTGCATGGAATCAAGTGTCAAAACAAAGTACTGGGTTTACTCTCTTAGAAGAGCAGAGGAAATTTGGGAGCCACTAAAATTATGGATCCAATTCCAGTTCAAAGTTCAGCAAGATTTCTCAGGTGACGTACTCCTCAATAACTTGTTTAAAATTCAACTTATGGAGAAACTGTCTGCTCATCCAACTCACCTCAATGAGAGGATACAGCCCTGAAAATTTCAGATCAATTGGACAAATCCTTGTCAAAATATCTTTTCTCAAAGGCAAAAATAACTTGTTTTGAGAAAACGAGCTTTGAACTTACAGTAGCAGAAATGTTTCTCAAGATAAACTTTAATACCTTAAAATTAAAATTCCGGAAAAAACAGAAATTCCATCTTTTACAGAATTTTCATGTGTACCCCCGCCTTAATACCTTATTATTAAATCACACCTTGATATTGGTGAATATATACTGTCCCTACTACTATTAAAATTCTACTAGGAAGCTTCAAGTTTATTCGACATCGTTTACCAGCATCGTCTGAAGCAGGAGCTCAGGCGTAGGTCTTTAAATTCTGGCATTCAGCGAACTGACGTGGAGCTAAACCAGACGTGTTCTAAATCAGGAAAGCCAGTAAGGACGACTCGAATTCAAATTGATTGTTAAGGTATCGTATTATAGTGGTACAACACGATTCGTGCCCTTTTGATATTTAAAACACGTTTTAAATATTCTAGTTGGTAAAGCAGTGTCTATGTATTAATCGACACCTAAGGTCAACAATTCTAGGCTTAAAGGAGCTCAGTCACGGTTTGCTCATATTGAAAAGTTTAGCCTCAATGTTTCAAATTCGTCGTTTGCAAGGGTAAGCCGAAAACACTGACCCCCGGTCCATGGTCCCCCACTACGGACCAGGTCCGCAGACTACCCTACAGACTGGTCCACGGACTACCCGGCTACGGACCCCCTCCACGGACCACCCCAAAAAAGAATAAAATTAAAAAATGAAGATTTCGCTTATGGGTTGTCTAATAGATTACTTGTGTCGATGAAATTGCGAGCGCTACACTGTGTAATTGTAACAGACTTGGGTTTTTAAAAACCCCAAAATGGGCGATGGGCGATGGCAAAAAGAAGGAAAGTTGTTACCTTCCGTTCGTGGCTCATACTGGCTATGGAACATTTGTTTTTAGGTCGTTTGCTTGTTTTATCTGTAATTTCGCTGAGCAAATTGTGAAGCCTAGAACAAGTTCACAGCCGCAGCAAAGGAAATGGCAATGTGTTTAATGATGTTTCTTGCTCCTGAGCCTGAACCTGCCAAGTCCGTTACATTTGCACAACGTAACGTTCGAAATTTCACCGACACGAGTAATCTATTAGACAGCCAGTACGTGAAATTTTATTTCTATTTAGGGGGTGGTCCGTACAGGGGTTCGTACGGGTAGCCCATAGACCGGTCCGTAGGGAGGCTGCGGACCCAGTCTGTAGTGGGGGTTACCCTATACATATCGCCTGAATCGAATTATAACACATGGATGTTCTCGAATCAGTATATCATGTGTTTTCTGTTATTCTGAACAGCTTATTGCGAATGTTACTCCATGTTTTCTACGAGCTGTACGGTTCTCATTCGGCTTGCTATGTATGGCTTTGCTCGGTCTTAAAAATGAATGCCAGTTTCTTAAGACGCTGCTGTCTGATCTGGAAGCGTAAACAACGTACATTTGAGACATTTGGTCAGATCACTAAGTTGCAGGGTAAACAAGTCCTTCCTCAAGCGTTCGAAACGCTTGTTCAGGTTTAAATATATTACAAATCGAAGCAATGCAAAAATTAATTAAGTTCAAAACAACGAAATCCAAGTTCTGATAATAGCTAAACAAGAGGTCATTTCGATGGTTCTTTACTTAAGACACACCTTCAAATTTTCTTTGAACACATGCAGTGCTGCCACCTTAAAACGTGCACTACAAAAAAAAGTGAATGTGTTGTGCTATGTTCTAAAGGCGGCAAAATACGAGAAAAACCCGTATCTCGTATACCGCCGCTTAAAGGCGGCGACGATATGTTCGATACAAAAACCTTCAACTTGGCTGATGTTTCGAGTTTTCCACCTTACGTGATCAACTTTGTTGATGCGAATATTAGAGAGCGGGTCTACTTTGAGCAACAAATTTTGGCTTTGCTGCTCGTTCATCAAACTCACAACTTGTCGCGCATAAATTTTGCTCACATTTCGCGACAAGTTGAGGGTTGGTGTATCTCCTGAAGCCGTCTCGGAGCTTACCGAATGAAGCCTTCCATGTTGCGACAAAATCAATCTTGAATCCGGATAAAAAAAAAGAACAGGAATTACCATTGGCTACGATGTAATAGGCCCTTTGCAGCTGGGGTCACGTGACCAAATTTTTCCTAAAAAA